CCCCGGGGCCCCTCCCGCTCTCATGAGCTCTCCCTTAGCGCACCACTCCAGTAGAGAAGGCAGGTATGTCTTCAAGGAGCCACGGACACCTTACATTTTATGTTTACTCATATTCTTTACCCCCTTGGGCCACGTAACCAACTTAGGGAATAGATATGGTGTTCTTGGTATCTGGGAAGCAGAGAAAGTCTAAAGACTCATGGAGGCAGATGGTTTGTTCCTCTTCTCTTACTCAGTCTTTTGAGCTAACGAAGGGTTGGACTCATCTTCTTTTCTCCCATCGGTAATGATTTTTATCGAAGTGCTGGCTTGCTCCATCCATCCCCCCAAGAACTTGGGTCTATGGATCTGGATTCTTTCACCTGACAGTTTTTTCAACCAACATTTCTTGAGGACATGCACCTCTCCCATCATTCCTTCCGCCCACTCTCTGTGGGAGTACCTCCTCTTCCTCTTCCCATTTTTTCCGCATCATCTTCTTTCACTCTCTCAGGATTTCTGGAAGGGAAGCTTCCCCTTTTCTATGGGAGCCAACTAACTTATCAGTTTTTGAAACTGGCGAGTGCCTTGGAAATTAGATGGGCATTCCCCTGTGGCCCTCTAGCCTAAGCTCCACCTTCATGCACCAAGAAGACCGCATGTACTTACTGGCATGCCCAGCCAGGTTTCCTGTTCTCTGTTCTGGCTTCTCTGTCTCTCATTGGTTCTGTAAGTCAGGTTTGGGTGGAACCAGAAGTCAAGGCTCACGGATGGGGGTGGGAGGCAGTGGGAGAGGGAGTGATGAAACACTTTCTCTTTCTCCTAGAACAAGCTGGACCCTGGGTTGGTATTCTGGCTCCTTCCCCCCGGCACTCTGATGAATGGGGACTGTCAGCTGTGTTACAGCATTGCCTGGGCTGGGGCAACCCTGGGTCGGTGGGTGCTCTACTGGGAATGCCTGCTGGGAGCCTGTGGCTTTGGGCTTCCCTGAGCATGGCGACTGCAAGTGAACACTTCTGTGGGGGACCCTGCAGCCACTGCTGTGGCTCTCATCTTGTTTCTGAGCTGTTGCTTGGGAGCCAAGAGACCAGCCCGGGACTAGGATGTGGAGTGCAGTGAGGACTCCCTGCAGAGGTTAGCCTGACTGGCCCTGCTGGAGGCTGTGGTTCCTGTCCTGCATTCCCCTGAGTGAATCTGGTGCCAAGTGTGCTCTTTGGTAATCCCCATGAGTCTGAATGTCTAGTTGAGCCTAAAAATAAAGATATCCCTGGCAGGCATTGCAGGCTCCCTTCCTCCACAGAGCCCCTAAAACGTGGATAGTTTCACACCCACTCCTGCAGTGCTGTGTGTTTTCCCTCTACTGGCCAGAGCACTGCAGAGAAGTGACTGACTCTAGAGTTTTGCCCTTCAAACCGCCATCATCACCGCTGAATATCATCGCCTTCGTCAAAAACCCTGCACTGCAAACACAGGACTCCGTTTGTGGATTCTCACTACTGCCTGTCACCTCCCACACTCTTGTCTAGCTCATAGCTTCCTCCCTTTTCTACTTCATCTCCCAGCATTTTCCCCTGTGGATGGCCTCTCTGAGAGAAAACACGGGACTGAGAGTCCTAGTCTGCTGCCTGGGCCAGCCTCAGACACACGCTTCACTTTCAGGGTTTCACAGTCTGGAAAATGGGAAGAGTGACCCCTGCCCTCAGGGACACACTCTGAAATGGAATTCGCTCCAATTGCAGCCAATGAAATGACAGAGCAATCTGAACTTTTTTTTTTTTTTTTTTTTTGAGTTGGAGTCTCACTCTGTCGCCCAGACTGGAGTGCAGTGGCCGCTCCCGGCCACCGCAGCTTCAAACTGCTGGGCTCCGGCGATCCTTCCGCCTCCGCCTTCCGAGTAGCCGGAGTTACAGGCATGCGATACCACGCCCAGCTGATTTTTTGATTTATTGTAGAGATGAGGTCTTGCCAAGTTGCCCAGGCGGGTCTCGAACCCGCGGGCTCAGGCAATCCACTCACTTCAGCCTCCCAAGGCACGGGATTACAGGCTGAGCCACCGAGCCCGGCTAAGTCTGAACTCCTTAAAGGTGAGATGGTCCTAAATGCCAATAGATCTGAGCACGTGTAGGTGGCACTCAAAGCAATTAGGGTCCCCTCTGCGTTCTCCTCCCGTCCCATGGCTGTCTCTAAGCCGTCACTGGCTTGCCAGAGCAGAATGGGCAGGTTGTGGTGTGGCTTTGCTTCCTGAGCTATTGCACCCTCCTAAAAGCAGAGAAGAAAGGAAAACAGTGACTCTCAGTATCCAGCCCACTCTGCTTCTCCTAGAGACTGGAGTACCGAGTACCGAGACTGTGTAAGAGAAGGCATTAGAGACAGAAATGGTCCAGGGAGAAGGCAGGCAGAGAGAAGGGAACCCAGACAGGGACAAAGGAGGCTAGGTGACATGGAGCCCTGCTCAGGGAGAGACATCATGAGCAGGAGATAGCAGAATGCCAGGCTGGCCAGAGCAGGAGCGCTGAGTGGCTCAGAGCTACACGGAGCAGAATTGTTTATGAAAGCGCTCCTGTCAGCCAGGTGCGGTGGCTCACGCCTGTAATCCCAGCACTTTGGGAGGCAGAGGTAAGAGGGTTCAAGACCAGCCTGGGCAACTTGGCAAGACCTCGTTTCTACAATAAAGAAAAAAATTAGCCAGTCTACTTGGAAGGCTGAGGCGGAAGGATTGCCAGAGCCTAGCAGGTCAAGGCTGCAGTGGCTATGAGCATGCCACTGCACTCCAGCCTGGGTGACAGAGTGAGACTCTGACTTGAATGAAAGAAAGAAGGAAGGAAGGAAGAAAGCTTTCCCATGAGTGGGTCCAGGTGCACTCAGAGTCACAGGTGGCATTGGTGGGTATCCTGTAAGCAACACTGTGGGACTATCTGATCCAAGAAGGTTCGTGGAAAGAGCTGCAAGTTGGGGAACCTTGCTTCTAATCTCAGCCAAGAACTTTGAGTCCCTTCTGTGAACCCCAGTTGTCTTAGCTGCAGAACACGGGCATTGTGCTGGTTGATTCCATGGTCTCTTCTATGTTCAATCTGGTCTTTAAGTCTGTGAAGCCATTAGTGGCAGATGGCATTTATGCTCCTCTCTCTCACCCATGCTCCCCCCAGGGAAGAAGGAGCATGCTTCCCTGCCCTATCACCCTCCCAGTGTTGGGCTTCTTGGTGCCTTGCTTTGGCCAATGGGCTGTGGCAGAAGGGACAGTGTGCCAGTTCTAAGCAGAAGCTTGGAGAGGCATTGCAGATTTCCACCAGCCCTCCTGTGCTCCTGCCCTTGGCTAGGAGAAGAGCACACCCTGGGAAGTCCCTGCTCCTTTAGCCTGGGTCCCAGCATGAGGAGGTACTCAGAGCAGACCTGAACCTAATGCACAGCCAGAAACAGCCCAGCAGAACCACAGCCATCTCACAAACCCATGAACAGGAATAAACGTTTGTAGTAAAGCATGGCGATTTTTGGAATTATTTGTTACTGCAGCCAATGCTGACTGATACACCATGTGGCAGAAAACAGTATCTCAAAGAAGGACACATCAAGGACAGATCAAAAGCCTGCCTGAAGGAGAATGAAGGGCAGCTGGAGGGCCTCTACAGGAATGGCCTCCACTGTTTCCTCCTCCATGCCAGAGCTGTTGTAAACCTCCATATGGAAACACACCTGGCTTTTGGCATCAACAGCCCAGGACGCAGCAGGGGTAGGAAGGAGTTTGGCGGGAAGAGGAAGTAAATTAGAATACATCAATGTCAAATTCCTCCCCATTCACAGTCCTCTCTTGCACGATCCTCCGAACCTGGGCTGTCCGCTTCTCTCACTCCCTAGGTGCCATAATTAAAAGGCTCTTGAACTTGGAGTTGATAGATTGGTTTAGTTAGCATGGAGAGGCAGAGAGATGACTTAGACAAGTTTACAAGTTCCAGCATCCCTGGTCTCTGGCTGCTGTGACACTACAAGTCCCAGGCCTTTCTGATTCCTAATATCAAAGGACGCCCAAAGAAATTCACATCAACAGCATCCCAGTCAAATTCTAGCGAATAGAAATTTTCCTGCCAAATGGAGCAGTGTAGCATATTTAATACGATGCCCATACTAATGCCCAGAGAAGACAACAGTGGAACTCTTATGCTCCCCGTGCCGTGACCTAGGGGATAACCTGAAGGTTCCAGATTAGAATGTGTAACTAAAGATAAGCACACGTCAGAAACCGGGCTGTCCCCACCTTCTTAGTCACATGGAAGGTGGAAGAGAAGAGCAACACAGACTTGGGAATGGGGTCAGGGAAAGAGCAGGCGCTAAAACAGTGGGTTCCGACTTCTTTCTAAAACACTGAAGCCTTTTAAACAAAATCTTACCTGGAACCAAAGTACCCGTAAATAGATAAAAGCACAGAAGCTTGGGCTGAGGCAGGGGTGAGGATTCAGAGCCTGTCTCTGCAGTGTTCCATTTCCCACTCCCAAGGGACCCCTGGAGCTGTGCGTGGGGACCCGGCACTGCACACAGCTGGAAAACCATGAGACTAGAGGAACTCGGGGCACTGGAATGGGCTTAAAGAAAGCTGGAGGAAAAGGGAGGCAGATACGATCATGGCCGTTTCTAGGTATTTTGCTGTGGAGAGAATGGAAGTAAATGGAATGAATGGGTGTCCCTGGCATGCCAGCACATGGGGTACACAATGGGAAGGAAGCCTTGCACAGTCTGCTTGAGGAAACAGACTGACCAAGTGACCTTCTACAAGTCTTTCTAGAGGCAAGCCTCCTCATCTTTATCTTCAACCAGGAAAGCCAGGTTTGCTAGGGAAAGATTTAGTTTTTCCTCCTTTGCCCTGCCTCTTCCTTCCAACCCACCCCTCCAACCCAAGCCTTTGGGCTCTCTTGAGTTCACAGGTATAAACCCGGTGCCATGTCTACTTTGGCCTCCCCCCAGGGAGCGATCTGTCCGCGGCGCCAGCACGTGGCTCCCCCATTCCCACGGAGACAAGCCCCCAAACCCACCTATGCACACCACGTCCATGAAGCCATACATCCCGTAGCAGATCTGGAAGAGAAGGTCTTGGCGCTGCCATTTTGCTGAGGGACTGAAGGTCGACCAGATGAGCCAAGAGATGCTGGCGACGAGGAAGAGGGAACCCAAGATGGCGGCTGCTATCTGCACCTTCTCAATGACCGTCAGAGAGATGGCCTGCCACTGGGGGAAGAGAGCGGGGGTTAGCTGTTGGGTGGACACCCTCACCCGGTTCCCGCCCTTCCTATTCCTGCTGCTCTGAAGGTTCCCCTTTGATTTGGGGTTGAAACCAGCACTTTCCAAACTGCAGTACAATGGACACATTGGCACATTTCTGAGATTCACATTGAACTTTTAAAGCAGAGGAGATCTAAACCACAACAAATGATCATATTTCATGGCAACGAGGAGGCTCTGGACAGACACGGCTGGGAAGGAAGACCCGTTTACTTGATTGTGAAATAGACAGAAATGGGGGGGGTGAAAATGCAGAGCTAGTGTGGGTGGCATTCCAGGGTCCCAGAAAATTCTTTTCAGAGCAACACTGTGTATTGTCTCACTAAAAGGTGCTGGAAAAGCATACAGGGTTTTTCTTTTTCTTTTCTTTTCCTTTTTGCTTGTTTTCCACAATATCACCTTGCATACCATTTAATTTATATTCTAGAGATGACCAATTCAATGGAGAAGGAGAAGACACAGGATGTGGGGGAGAGATAAGAAAAACAGCTTATAACTTACTGAATGTATATCAACACTGATATTTTATTTTTTAACAGAAAAAGCACTGTACTTCTAACAGTATTGGTGGATGGGTTAAAGGCTGGGGTGTGGGTGAGTTTCAGCTCTGAAATTCTATGTTTCTTTGGCTGGTCCAGGAAGCACAGGCATAAAGGAGTCAGGAGTTGGGTTTGAGCCGGGAGCAGTGGCTCATGCCTGTAATCCCGTACTTTGGGAGGCGGAGGTGAGAGGGTTGCCTGAAGCCCAGGATTCAACACCAGCCTGGGCAACTTGGTGAGACCTCATCTCTATAATAAATAAAATTAGTTGGGCGTGGTGGCACGCACCTGTAGTTCCAGCTACTTGGAAGTCTAAGACGGGAGGTTCACCTGAGCCCAGCAGGTGGAGGCTGCAGTGGCCATGAGCGTGCCACTGTACCCCAGCCTGGGAGACAGTGAGATACCACCACCCCAAAAAGGAGTTGGATTTGAATTTGGGGTCTATTCATGTACCTACTCAATGTATATGTATTGGGGATTTTCTGTGTGCTGGTCCTATGCCAAGAGCTGGCAATAAAGTCCAGACAGAAACAGATAAGGTCCCTGCCCCTCTGGAGCTTACAGTCGAGGGAACTTAGACAACCATGTAATTACTTACAAGTGCAATTCATCAAGGGTAAGTTGGGGAGCAACATGGCACCATGAGATCCTATGATAGGAGATTTGACTTCCCAGAGGAAACAATACTTGAGCCGAGGAGGCACCTACTAGGCCAAGAAAGGAGGGAAGAGTACTCTAGGCAAACGGAAGAGCATATGCAAAGGCCCCGTGTCAGAAGAAAACGCAGTGAGTATGGAAATGTGGAAGAAGATCAGGGTCAGGAGAGTGGAGACAGGAAAAGAATCTGTGGGATGAGGTAGCTAGAAAAGTAAGAAGGGAAAGCCGGGCTCGGTGGCTCAGCCTGTAATCCCGCGCCTTTGGGAGGCTGAGGTGAGTGGATTGCCTGAGCCCGCGGGTTCGAGACCCGCCTGGGCAGCAAGACCTCATCTCTACAAAAAATCAAAAAATCAGTCGGGCATGGTAGCGTATGCCTGTAATTCCGGCTACTTGGAAGGCTGAGGCGGAAGGATCGCTGGAGCCCAGCAGGTCGAGGCTGCAGTAGCCGGGAGCGGCCACTGCACTCCAGTCTGGACGACAGAGTGAGACTCCAACTCAAAAAAAAAAAAAAAAAAAGAAGGGAGACCACACAGAATCTTGGAGAATATGCACAGATTTTCGGACTCTGTCCTAAGGGTAAATGTGACTGACAGGATCAGATTTGGAGAGGTGGAAGGGAGGACATCTGATGGAGGAGATGTGCATAACACTGCAGAGAGCACCCCCAGAAAGCATGTCAGCGCAGAAGAAAGGCAGACCACCTTCCTTTTGCCAGCAGGGAGACCCTCACTCTGCGTCCAATGGCCTGGTGGAAAAGCTGATTCTCACTCTATCTGGGACCGGCCAGTGGCTCCCAACGAATCATCATCACTGGAAGACATTTCACTTACTGGTCCAGATGGAAGACACGAGCCTTTACACTCCATTCTATAGATGGCATCTCATTACCGGTAATTGGGTCTTTACATTTTCCACAGCTTCCCTCAGTCTCAGGTTACACACAACAAAGTGATTTTCCAGAAGATGGCTGGATCACACAGACTGTTGGCAAGTGCAACAAGTGCCTTCCCCGGGCCCGCCCCGCTGCCTGGAAGGAGGGCTTCTGACCGGGCCTTCCGTTTCTATGACCGAGGCATCAACAACCCTCATCTTTTCCTCTAGACTTCAAAAACCCCAGGTCCGGAGGCACAGAGAGCCCTCTGCATCCTTCAAGACCCTTCTACCAGCCTCAGAACCACCGGCAGCACTTAACACAGGGCTCCTGCCTGCTGTGTGAAGCCTGAAGCAGAAGGGACAAGCTGGGTGCTGTAGACCACTCTGATCCTATCTGTCCCATGAGATGCCTGGAGGCGGGAAGCAGAGTGAGCTCTGAAATCCCATGGGAGGCCTGGGAGGGGAGACGGGCATCAGACACCAGAATATTGGAGCCTCGTTCCAAGGGAGACTCTGACCTCAGTGTTGTGAGATTCTCCACCCCTTGAACTGGCTGTAATCCCAGCTACAAGGGAGGCTGAGCAGAGAGGACTGCTTGAGCCCAGTAGTTCCAGGCTGCAGCGAGCTGTGATTGCACCACTTCACTCCATCCTAGGTGACAGAGCGAGATCCTGTCTCTAAAAAAATAATAATTTTTTAAAAAGACACATTGCTTCCAGTGGATCACTGAGACGATGTTCCATAGTTAATAGCTGTGTTATTTTTTGCAACTCTATGTGGTGCATGAACCAGGAGGTGAGAGACCCAGCGGAACCAGAAGGAGCCTTCTGATCACAGAGGCAGCCCTGAGATCCCCATCCATTGCCCCACTGCTTGTGGTAGGCCTGCCAGCTCCGTCCTGTACTACAGATCTGGCTGGGCTGGAGGGCAGAAGTGGCCCACTGTGGCTGAGCAAGCAGCTGTCTCACACTTGGAGGGGCCTGAGGAACCCAGGACACACAAGTGGGACAATTTTGGTCACAGCCACACAATGCTATTTCTAGTCCAAACGACTTCCTTCTTCTGGTGCTCTTCAGAAGTGAAATGGCATTGACGGAGCACAGACCATTGCATTTCCAGGAGCAACAGAAGCAGAGGAAGTCCCCAGTGTCTAGAAACTCCCAGATGAAGACAAAGAAGTCATTTAAGAACACACAAATAGATCAATATTACCGACACTGCCACTTGCTTACCTGACTTTCAAGATTAGAATAACGTTTTCTGGGTTTTTTTTTAAATCCCTGGGGAAAGTTATTCCTAAATGTTTTTTCACTTTATAAGTCACAGGCGGAGCCAAAGGAGAGTGCTTTGGGGTGGGCTCGTGGGTTTGGAATCTGACCCTTTCTAGAGGCTTGCACCAGCTGAAAAGGAAGGGGAGGGTTAAAGCAGTCAGACCTCTGCTGGAGCCCAGAGGATGTGGAATCAGCTGTCTCGCGACATTGCTATTTTAAGACGCTCCAAGATGTTGAAATGAATTGAAGATGGAGCCAGCGGCAGAAGAGACATCTCTCATTCTGAGCCCTTGGTACACTACTGAAATGGCCAAGGTGCCTGGGGCTTTTTCATGCCACTTTCTAGAAGTGACCCCCTACCCCAGCCCACTTACATACATGCGTGCGCACACATGGGCACACACGCTCATTCCTGGGCGTATCCGTGTAAAACTCTATAGGATTGGCTGGGCGCAGTGACTCAGCCTATAATACCAGCACTTTGGGAGGCTGAGGCAACAGGATTTCCTGAGTCCGTGGGTTCGAGACCCGCCTGGGCAACTTGGCGAGACCTCATCTCTACAATAAATTAAAAAATTAGCCAGGCGAGGTGGCGCAGACCTATAGTTCCAGCTACTGAAGTGAAAGGATCGCCTGAGCCCAGCAGGTCAAGGCCACGGTGGCCGTGAGTGTGCCACGGCACTCCAGCCTGGGTGACAAGAGTGAGACTCCAACTCAGAAACAACAACAACAAAAAAACCCACCAGGAAACAACTCTATAGGGTTTAAAATAAGCCACCCTGGACACTACAGTTCCAGGGATTTCCAGCCATGCAAAGATCCTCCCCTCTTCCCCACCACCATCACCACCACCAATCCCCACCACATCCCTTGCCTCAGCTGGGTCCTGGGCCTACAGAATGGACCCTTCCCTCCTACCCTGCCATGCCCCCCTCCCACCCCAGAGGAGGAGCCAACTCTGTGGCAGGCAGCAGAAGTTCCCATTATCATCATCATACTAGCTAATTGATTAGGCAGCCACTCAATTGGCTGATCGTGCATATGGAGAAGTATTTTCAGGAGCAAAACGCTCTCTCTCCACGCGCGGGTGCCTTGCAGGGAGAGTCCCTGGATTTGGGGGCGTTTACGAGGGTGACCCAGGCCTGCCAGCTCCTCTGGGGACCATGGGTGTGTCAGGCAGGAGGGGTGGGTAGAGGAAGCCCTAAATTCCATCTGAATCTGGGTGGCACCCTCCGGCGTCCAGGCCCCACCCGTTCCTTCATCTCGGCCTTTTCACGTCCTCTCTCCTCTGTCTTCCGGACGGTCCGTTTCCCCATTTTCTCTACCCGCTCTCCATGTCTCTCTCCGGCCCTCCTCCCTGGAAGTGTGGCCTCTGAACCAGCGGCATCAGCGTCGCTCAACCGTTTGCTAGAAACGCAGACTCAGGCCCTGCCCAGGTCTGCTGGACCCTCCAACTCCACTGAATCACCGTCCGCATTTTGGCAAGACGCCACACATTCAAGTTTTAAAAACTGCTGTCAGGCCTCCTCCCCTTATGTCTTTTGTTCCAGCTCTTGGCTTCATCTCAGTCCTCCACCTTAGCCTCCTACCCTCTGTCTTGTCATGTTTTGCTCGCTTCCGCCCTCCTGTCTTTCATCTCTCCCTCCCACCTTTTCTTTTGTCCTTCCCCCCCTTCTTTCACTCACTCATTCATTCACTTACCTACTTATTCCCCCTCTTCCCTCTGCCTTCTGGACCGAGTTCCCTCTCTTTGTCCCGTCCCTCCCTCTTCTTACGAAGGCTGGAAACCCAAAAGTCCTCTCTCCCCCTCCCGCCGCGCTGGCCCGCGATGCTCACCCAGCCCTTCCCGGTGCCACCCCCCACCCCTCCACCCTCCCCACTTCTCCCCCAGGCTGCCCTGAACCCTAAGGCGGAGCGATCCTCCCGCTGAAAGGAACCAGGGGGTGTGGAAGCCCCAGGCGCCCCGGATCGTACCTGCAGAGGATTCTTCGTGCTGATGGCGATGACGTGGTACTTGTAGTAGCACAG